TTTATAATGATTTCCCTCTACCATACTTATAGCAAAGACACTAGCAACTTACTGGTGGATATGAGGCTCTTAACCCCAAACTGTAGAGAAACCTGCTGTTGAGGAGGGTGTCCAAAGGACTTTGGCATCACAGTCTAAGCTGACATTCAGCCAGGGCACACTAAAAGGGCTATATTGTTTACAGCCATTATCCAAACTGATTGGTGGAGGACCGAGCCAACAGCCTGTTGAACATGTTGACTATCACCCCTGGCTACAGTCACATAATTCTAGCCAGCTATTTTGGAATGTGTGTTATACATATCAGAGACGAAGCTGAAAAAAAAGAGAGATGGCTTTGTTCAACCCAACACCACTTTTAGAAAAGCAATCTGGATATAGTTCCTATGAATATCCTTTGGGGTTTCCAGAATACTTCAGTATTTTGTTCTGGATGAGGCTTTGTCGTCCTTAGATAGTACCTGGTTCTTAATAGATAAGAGATTAGACACTGTCAAAGAGAGTACCTGTCTCACTAAGAGCACCTTATCAGAATAATTAGTCTGTGGGGATCGGTTTAAGTAGGTCCCCAAAATAAAACCAGTCTTGAAATGTACACTATCTTTAGCAATCATTATTAGTAAACTATCTAAGACTATGTATACTTTAAGAATTTTTTTAGACTTTTTAAAAGGACTATGTTTACTTTAAGGTGGTAAATATCACATAAAAGAAAGTAAATTTGCAAATTGATTAAGAAAAACTCACTCTTCCTCCTGTGTGTTTCTCCTTTACTTTCACATAGAACACTTCACTTCTGCCAATTCTAGTCACCAAATGTATGGAGTTTTTTCTCCCACAAAGAGCAATTCTCTGCAACACCAATTAGGTGTCCTACAACTTAACTCAATTCTGACACTGTTTACCTGGAGATAGCATCAGATCCCACAGGTTAAAGGCTCAGCCCCATAAGACTGCCCCCACCCCCTTAGATGCCAATTGCACATCCAGGTTGTCACCTGTTCTTCTGACTGATCGGCTATAAATGAGAGGTTCCTGCGACCCTCTCCTTGGGTTCAATTAATTTGCTAGAGTGGCTCACAGAATTCAGGAACACAGTTGACTTACTGTTTACCGGTTTATTATAAAAGGATATGATAAAGGATACCGATGAACATGCAGACAGAAGAGATGTGCAGGTCAAGGGACGTGGGAAGGGGCACGGAGCTTCCATGCCCTCCCCGGGCACACCCCTCCTCCTGCACCTCCACTTGTTCACCAACCTAGAAACTCTCTGAACCTCATACTTTTGAGATTTTATGGAGGCTTCATTACCTAGGCATGATGGATCATTAACTCCATTTCCAGCCCCTCTCCCCTCTCCGGAGAATCAGGGGTGGGGCTGAAAATGTCAAGCTTCTGATCACGGCTTGGTCTTTCTGGTGACCAGCCCCCTTCCAGGAGCCCACTCAGAGTCACCTCATTAGGAAAAAACACTCCTATCACCCAGGAAATTACAAGGGTTTCAGGAGCTCTGTGCCAGGAACTGGGGTCAGAGACCAAATATTAGAACAAAAGATGCTCCTAGCGCTCTTATTACTTAGGAAATTACAAGGGTTTCTCTGCTAGGAACCAGGAGCAGAGAACAATATGTATTTTTTTCCTATTATTTTTCGCACAATCAATTTGGTTTAAACATCTATTAGGAAGGATGATAATGTGTTTGGCTAAATGTGCCTCTTTGGTTTCTCACTGAGAGCATGTGAAAACTGTCTAAACATGGGCTCCTACTTCAATGTTTTTAAACAATTTTATTGAGGTATAATTTGTGTATCATAAAATCCATTTGTTTTAAGTGTGCAACTATCACCATAATTCGGTTTCAAGATGCAATTTTAATATGTTAAACAGAAAACTCACCCTCATTCTTGGGCTAGCTTAAGATCTTTAGGGGTCTGAAGCACTGAGCAGGGTTTGTTTGTCTCCCTGTCCTGATTCTCCTCCCTCTCTACTTTCCTCCTCCTTGCTTCCCTTCTTCCTGCCTTTCCTCATAGTGTCTTAAGTGCTCAGGGAACAAGTGGAAAGATAATCCCTGCTGTCACAGATCAGGAAGACAGTCATGAAAAACAATGAAAGAGATCATCACATTCTTTTGTGGAGGTGTCATTTCTGACAGAAGGGCTGTCCCGGGTATTATGGGGTCACATTTATCTCAGCCCCACCCCAGTTCTCGGAGATTTCAGGGCTTAGCTCCATAAACATTTACCTGTGCTCCATGCTGCAGGTACAAAGACGAATAGAAACTCATCCCTGCCCGGATTTAAGCAGCTTTAATTCAACCTCAGGTGACTAAGCATCACTCAGTGTTATTGGTCTGACTGACCTTGTAACCCAGGCCCAGTAGCTCGACCTTTGCCCGTGGGAAAGGACACAGCCCCCTCTTGTGCCCTCTCTGATAACGGGAAGTCTTTTCCTCTTTCCTGCTCTGGCTTGCTCCCTCTCTGTCTCCAGCTCTCTACTCAGAAGACACCTTCTCACTGAGGCCCTTCCTGACCACTGAGCTAAAATTTCAGCCTTCTTCCAACACACAGACTTCATAACCCCTCCCTGCTTGACTTGCTCCTCTTCCCTTTTTCACTCTCCAACACACAACTGATTTTACTTGTTTATTACATTGTTTATTCTCTGCTTCCTCCATTAGAGTGTAAGTTCTGTGAGGCCAGGAGTTCGGGTCTGTTTTCTTCTCTGTCCTAATCCTAGGGCCGGGTTCTCAGTACATAGTCTGTACACCAGGTATATTTGTCGAATGAATTCATGGCTATCTGATGCTTATTTCCTTCCCTGGTGCTGGTGCCAGGGCCCCATCCTGATAACCCCAGTTTTTCAACACCTCGGACGCAGCCTCAATCCCATCTCACTTCCATGCACGGGCAGGGCCTCAGTGTAGACTGTGGGCCAGAAGCTTTGATCACGCTGCCCCCCAGCTTGCAGCTCTGAACACTCTCTGGTCCCAGCTGCCTTGCCCCTGGAACTGCCTCACTGAGGAATCCGCTCCGACGTGTTGTTGCCTGTTCCCCCCCTGACTCAAACTGTTGCTGCCTGTCCTGGCCCAGGCCCCGGCCCCCAACCTCTCTTAGGAACTGGCCTATCCCAGTCTGCCCCAGTTAATTAACCTTCTCTGTGTGACAGCTTTACAAGACTGGACAGAAGGCAGAACACCCATAATGCTATGTGAATTAAAATACCAGCCAGTGGTAACGAACGACCAAGGAGAGAAGAGTTACCCCACACCAGGCTGCATGCTTGAATCTTCCTAAAGAACTGTTTTGAAAGCAGTTGAAAAAAAGAGTTTAAACATTTTAGAATAATTACCGTCTCTGAAATTAGCTTCTTAAAAGTAGTCTTTAAAGTCACTCTTATATAATCATCATATTTCTAGGTTAACTTTCCTAGTAAAATCTGGGGGTGTAATAACTCTCTATCCTATTCCAAGCTCCTGGTCACCATCAGAGTTTTCAATACTCTCATTAGCTTCTCACTGAAAGAAAACATTTTTTTTCTGCCCTAAAGTTGAGGCTGAAAATAAAGACCTCTGAAGTCTTCCACTCTAAGGATACCTTAGGCTTTTAAACACACATATAGCTTTCACTCCTGCCAGGTGCACAATAGATGATATAACTTTGGGGAACAAAAGGACACAGATTAGCCAGGTGAAGGCTTTACTCGGGATTCTGGAGAGGCTGATACCTTTGAGCTTTATCCGTCTCTTGGTGACCGATTTCTGTATGTGCTTAGTGACAGCACATTTGGAAGCATTATTAACAGGTTTTATTTGTGGGACAAGACAAGGAAGGTCGATTGAGTATAATGAATTTTAGTAAGTCACATAGAGCCCCCGTTGGTTCATAGAGTTTCCTTTTCATTCTCTTGGCAGAAACACTTCAATCAGCTATTGGGAGAGGTTAGAATGGGAGTTCTTTCCTTGGGAATAAGACAGTAGGACATAAAGACAGTTCCATTCCAGCAGCCAGGAAAGGCTGCACGCTCTGCTGGATGACTCAGGGACCACTCAGCTGAACCCTCGTGCTGGAGATCCAAGAAAGATGGCAGGCTTAACTTCACCAGAGTCATAGAATAGAGTTTTGGGTCTTCCTTCTGCATAGAAATCCTTAAAACGGGGCACCAGAGAGCATGGAAACCATCCTCTACCAGCGACCTCTCTCCTCCATTCCCCTATTTTGCAGATAACACAAAAGGCAAGAGACCATGTCTTTAGATATTCTTAGAGGAACTAGACATTCTAAGCATGTGCCCTAAAGTAGGAGTTAGGTTTCAAGGTGGAGAATAGAGTGGGCCCTAAGAGGGCCTGGTGGTTGGCATTGTCATATAACCCTCGGTACTTGCACCTCCCTGCTCCCCTACTCCCCGCACTCCATGGGAGGGAGCCAGGTGGTGGGGTATGCACTCGGGCCTCTTCGGATGTGTCCTCTCCTCCACGAAAGCAGGATCCCGCTTTGCTTGGACTACGTGAACTTTTAGGGGCAACCAAAAAGTATCTGCGGTGACACGGATCCAGGGCAGTTTCTGGAAACGTGACGATCTCAACGCCTCCCTCGCTCGGTCCCCAGGTCCTGAGCTGCAGACTGGTCCTCGCCGGCCTCCGCCCCCACCTCAACCCCGCCCTCCTGCCGGCTGAGCTCGGCCTGCTGTCACACCTGATTCCAGCTCAGGTCCCGCTCGCGCGCTGTGGAAAAGACAATGTCAAGGTCCTGGCTGAGATTGGGCCCTTGGGGGGCGAGGCCGAGGGAGCGCGCGAGGGATAGTGGGCAGCTCCTCACCCTGGGGGTGGTTTGCGATTCCAAGCAGACAGAAGGACGTCCCAGACCAGCTGGGGGTGGGAGGGCTGAAGGAGGTGGAGCCGCCGGGGGGGGGGGCGGTGCCGCGGGGAGCGGAGCCCGGCCTCCCGCCCCCGCCCCTTTCGGTGCCTTAGTCTGGGCGGTGACACAAAAAGCTCCCGCTTGGAGCAGAGCGCCTGGCGGCGGTGTCCGACCGGGAGCGCGGAGAGCGGCCGGGCAGGTGGGGCGCCTCCCGAAGGGCTGAGCAGGAAGCTGGGGCTGCAGGCGCCGACGCCGCGCTCCCGGGCGCCCGCCCCATACCCCGCGGCGCGCGTCTGGCCGAGCGGGCGGCGGGTGCGCCGGGACCACCCGGCGATGCTGCCGCTGCCGCCGCCGCCTCTGTAGGAAGCGCCCGAGCCCGCTGCGGAGGGAGGTCAGTGAGTTTCCGTTTGTGTCTCTGCTCTGCCACTCCCGGGTCGGGGGCGGCGAGAGGGGCGCGAAGGGATGTCTGCGCCTCCACGGCAGCTGCACCCGGAGCTAGGGAAGCGGGAAAGGGGAGCTGCCGCCTGGTGTATTGGGGTACCTTTTGGACGGTGGATGGGGGCGGCGGGGCTGCAGGGGTCCCGGGGAGGGGAGCGCGGGGCGCGGCGGGGCGGCCCCGGGGTACTGGGGAGGTGGTCCCTGGAGTTGCGTTTCTCCTGAGCGCCGGCGGAGTTGGGCTGGCGGCTGGGGCAGGGGAGCGGCGCTGTCGGCGGCGCCGCCGAGTCCTCGGATGCCCCCTGGAGCTCCGGTCCGAGGGAGCTCGTCTGGTGCCCGCGCCGCGCGCGCCCCTGGAGATGCACGTGCGTGCGCGCCCCGACTGCGCCCCCACCCCGCACACACCCGGGATGGTCCTCTCGCAAGCCGCTTGTCGTGCGCCTTCGCCACCCCGAGAAGTTGCCCTCGCGCGCCCCTCTGCGGCCCCGGGGCCCCTCCCAGGAGGAGAGGGCGCAGTGGCGGGCCAGATGTTGGGGGGCTTTTGTGCAGACCCACGCGCCTGAGGCGCTTGCTCTTGGAAGGGCAGCGGCAGGACAAAGCAGGCTGGACTCGTGGGACGCGGCTTGGGAAGCGGCTGTCCCCGATCCCGCCTGGGGTGGGGGTGGGGTGGGGGGAGCGCTGCACGGTTTTGGAAAGAGTAGAGAAATCGGCAAAACAGAGGGACAGTGATTTGATGAGGTGGCGGACAGGGGCAAAGGAAAGAAAGGATGCTCGCGAATGTGGCGCTAGTGTGTTTGGGCGGGTAACTGGGCGCCCCGCATTCTCGTATAACCAGGTTTACCTAGTATGTTTTGCTAGTGTATATGTGCCCCAAGATGTTCTTATCCGCTTTCTCTGATTTCTTTCTTTCTGAGGGATTACAGTTGCTGGTAGAAGCTCTACCCCCAGAGGAGAACTTAGGGGCGGGGGGGACTGCAGAGGAGTGGGGGAAGGTAGTTATTTATCCTATAGAGACAATTAGGCAGCGTTACGCCCCCTCCGCGGCCCGCCGGTCGCCGCGCCTCAGCCGTCTTCCTCCACGTCCCCCCGGGCACCCGCTCCGCCGCTGGCCGGGGAGGATGCGTGGATTTCTGTCTCTGCTGCGCGTATCTAACCCTTACTGCATGTATTTCACTGCAGGCTGAACACAGCTCACGCTCAATTGTGCTTCCTGCTTCTCAGCCTCTTGCCTCCCAAACGCGTACCATTTTCACTTGATGTCATCACGCAGAAGGGGGTGAAAGGGACTCGGTGACAGATTCAGGTAACCCTTAATTATCTGGGTAGCCGCCTGGGTGTCTCTGGGTCACTGAGGCCAACAGTGTTTGCACGGGGCTGTTTGGGTGGTTTCTGCATCACACCATTCCATTGCTGTCTGTGTGGAAGAGGAGGGGCTGCTGAAACTCCTGGTTCAGAGAAAGAAATTGCAAACGACTTTAAACCTCCCTTTTGAAGAAGTCATTGGGGGCAGGGTGCTTGTGGGGTTGTATAAATTCCACCTGATTTCCTTTGATGGGAATTTTGATACAGTCAATGCATAGGCACATGTATCTAAACGTGGGGTTTGGGTATGTGTATGCCTGCTTTCTTATCTGTAGCAATATATTTTGGCTTCAGTCTATGAGTGGGATATCGTTTGTTGAAAAGATATCGTTGTAAGGCTGATTATAAATTTGACCAGGGCTCAATTAGGGCATTGGTCAACTGTAGTGACCTTCTTACGAAATAACGTCTTTCCTTGTAATAGTGTTTGCAATATCAAGAGGGATATGCCAGTTGTAAGTTACTAGGAGGAGGAAGGGAGGGGCAGTGGGGGAGCAGAAAGAGAATAGAGAAAAGGAAGCTTTAGTTAAGTTTCCATTTATGTAGCAATGACCCATTAGGCTCTCATTCTGCATTTTATCTTTAGGTTGTTGGGTCTTTTCCAAAAACTCTGGCCTGTTCTTTTCTTTCCAAGGATAGTTCTGTTTTGATGTCAGTCTAACCAGATCAGGGGTTATCTTGATAGAGCTCAATAAAAATGTAACCTTCAGACGGAGCAGGGCACCTTGGCATTGTCTCCTAGAGGGCAGAGTCCTGGCGTCCTACACAAGTAGCAGGGAATGAGAATGGTTATGGAAATGGACTCGAGGTTTACCTTGTAGGAAGAAGGTGTTGCTGAGGGCCAGAGGCTTCTGGTGCTGTCTTGCACTGCAGCGGCAGCATCACCGAATCCGTGGTAGGTTCTCTCTTCACCATTTTCCCCCCCAAATCCCTTGAAAAATAAAATTTAGAAACTTGAAAGATTTGTCATTCACCTCTAAGGTAGTTTTGTTTTGCAAGGTGACTTTAAAAAACCTAAGTGACTCTGGCATTTATCCTTCTACTCAGAGCTTTCAGGAATCTTAGAAAGATCAGTTTTGTAATGTGTTAGGGTAGAGGTATTTTGACAAGTAATTTCTATGTCAGCAATAATGCAGGGTGTGTGCTGTGTTCCTGTGAGAGGACAAGCCACGTGATGGGGTACTAGGGAGTATAATAATGCAATAGAAACAAAGGGTGTGGGTTTTTTTTTAATAGAAAAAATAAATACCTCACACACAGAATTGCACATGGGAGAACAGCTGCCTGTACATGTAAATGCATGTTCAAGAACAAAGATAGCCACGGTGCAGTGTTAGGTTTTGCTGTGGTTTTGAATTGTGTACAGTAAGAAATCATAATAAAGTGTTGTATTGATGTTTAATTTTTTTTTTCTAGGTGGAGGCTCCCTGCCCCCAGGTGTCTGCAGGAGTGTGTTTAGCTTTAGGTTGGACAAGCCCTAGAGGTTATTAGACAACCTTTGCCTCCTATGCCTGAGTCCTTTCTACAATGCTCGTTTGATTCATTCAATAGCAGATGTTTATCAAGCACCTTATAGGTAATAGGGTCTGTGAAAGGTGCCAAGGGGTGGGGTGGGGGAGCGTGAAGACACAAAAATGAACCGTCTTCAGGGAGCTTACTGGGTGATGGAGACATGAAGGCCCGATTCTGGTTAAGTTTAATGGAAGCTGGACAGAGAGGAACAGAGTGGTATTAGACTTCTGAGGAGGGAGCATGTGATCATTCAGTCTCTGCTTGAATACCTCTTTCAATGGGGAGCTCACTACTTTGTAAATGACCGGACCTGTTGTCAGAAGGTGACCTTTTCTTCCTGGTCTTTAAACTCGTCAGCTGGTTTCTACATGAATGGTTAGATTTCACCACTGTTGAGAGGTCATTCGTTTTCATTCCTTATTCCCTCAGAGTTGTTTGAACCTGTCTGTCCTGTTGGCACCCTCTACATTTCAAGGTATTATTCAGTCTTTGTTGCACATGAATTTTGAAACAAATTCTGCTATTCTGTATTGTCTGATTTAGAAAACAGATGTGGGGATGGGCTTTTGCAGGGTTCTATCTCTTTTAAACAGTGATGTATCAGCAAGGTAGGTTAGGTTATCCCACTGTAACAGATAACCTCCAAACCTCAGTGGCTGGATACCGTTTCTTTCTTTCCCATGCTGTGTGTCCAGCGTGGTCAGCAGGTGGGCCCTGCTCCTCAGAGTCACTCAAGGGCCCAAACTGATGGAGGTATGATCTTGAATATTCTTGCAAGATCACTGCAGCTTTGGAAAGGAAACCAGAGAATCTCGCTCTAGTAATGACATGATCTGACCCAGAAGTGACTCCATTGCTTCACCCAGAACTAATCCTATTACCTCATTTAACCACAATTCCATGTTTATGGTACTGAAGGAGGGAGAACTGGCTATAGGTGAGCAGCACTAGTGACTTCCACAAGTGATGTGCCTGACCGAGGTTATAGAGTGTGTTCCTGTTGGGCCGAGCCCAGTGCTTTGTGGGCATTGTTAACATGAGTATTGACTGAATAAATGAATCATAAATATCTTAAAGAATCGGGTCCTACTTCAACCTGTTCCTTACTGATATGTTGGTATTATATTTCCTAATATGATTGTGCACTGGTCATGTAATAAAAAATTATGATTTTCTCTTTTTGCCTGCTTTGTGTACTTGTTTACTTGGAAGTGCTAGGCCAGGAGATATTTCCAAGTCTGGTTCTAGAAGGTTCGGGGCTTAACATTATGTAATAGAGAGGTGTTACTTACAGACTTTCTCTCCCTCACCATCTGCCTCTTGTCTAAGACTTGCCCAGGGGAGAAAAAGAACGGCAGTGGGCCTAGCGTCACCTAGAAGGTGGCCTCCTGCAGCAAAGACTGCAGGGCAAGAGATAGGACCTAGAGGGGGCAGGGATGGGTGTAGGTAGCCTTGGGTCACCCTGTTGTTACTTTGATGTTGAGAAAAAGCAGTTTGGATAAGAGGCTGTTTCTGGTCACAGGACTAATAGAACACCCAGAGAGTTCTGAGCCTTTCCATCTTCCATACTTCCATCAGCAACCGTGTTGGCTGTGAGGGTGGTAAGTTTTAAAGCCTTCCTTGCTGCACTGTCCCTAAAAATAGTTAGGTGGTGTGGAATAGGCATTGCGGGGGGCTGTGGATTAAACAGTTGGTGGCTTGTAGAGAGATTTTGCTGTGGAAAGTGCTGGCCACTCAGATATCTTTGTTCATGTGATAAATGCATGCCTGGATTAGAATTTTTAGGATTTGATAAGTACTTTAGCATAAGCATGGAATTTAACAAAATAATATTGCTCCTAGCTCAATAGTCACATCATTGAAGATATTTTTATAAAGACAGCTCTCCGTAGACAGGTGATATGGTAGCAAGACACAGTGACTAGAGGACATGAGTATTGGCCTAAGAATGCAGAGGCTGCCCTTTGGTCCAGCTTCACTTGAGTGACAAGGTATTGCATCCAAAGGGGTTCTGATGTGGGAAATGAGCAGCTAAGAAACCAGCAGGAAGAACCAGATATAGACCACCCAAGACTTCCAAGAACCGATTCAGGGTGCCTATGGTTGGGCTAGGGATGAGGCACAGCCTGAGCGAGAGGGAAAATTAAGCCTGAGGGACTAGTCTTGAAATATACTTGGGAAGCTTGAAAATACATTTCTGTATTTTGTTTGGCCTCTGAGTGTCTATCACTTTAATTTCATAATGAAGTTGGCCGTCCAGGTAGAGGACACTTGTGGAGTGAATGTGGTTCCTGGCCCTGCCAGTTGCAGTGTCATGGAAACCCGAAGGGTGGAAGGCATTGGTTTTCTTGCTCCTTCCCTCATGGCTTCGTGAGCTACAGTGTTTGTTCCAGGAGTCTGCCTCAATAATTGAAGTCACAATTTGGATAAAATAAGTACTTGTTTTATGTTTCAGGATTTTCTACTTCTAGTTGACTTAGTGTCATTGTACGATTTAAAGAGCGAGGCCTCAAGTAGTGCATGTGTGACTTGCATTTCCTTTGGGTGGTTCTTGATTGCCTGGCCTGGACCCTATATGGCTGCTGAGGCCTGGATACCTTTTTTGTAGAGTCGTGGGGGGCTGCTTGTGATCTCCTGGGAGTGCAGGGGGTGAGTAGGAAAAGGTGACTTACTTACCACTTGAGTCATTAACGCCTGCGTAGATAAAACTCATGGCAAACATCCTGCATGATAAAAGTGATTCTAACATCACATGGGCTTCCTGGGGTATCAGATTCCATGCAAGGAAGGGATGGATCAAAGGCACGTGTGCCGCTGATCTAGATTCGCAGATCTTCGAATGCTGTGTTCTGTGCTTGTATTTTCTTTTCCTACTCCCCCTACACCCCCATCTTACTCCTACCTACCAAGGAAATGTAACTTTTCTGCCTCAGTTTCCATTTAGAAATCCAGATAATCAGACTTAATGCACTCCTCACTGAGGTTCTACGAGAACTGATGAGATTTTAATCATCAAAATCTTTGATGCTCAAAGATTTCAAGTTTGAGAAAGACGTCGAATACTTTAACAGAGACTGTGGAAATAGAGAGCGTTGTTATGAATATTGCTGTTTTGCTTACAACAGATTAACTCTCTCCTTAGTGACAGTTCCCACATCTCCCTTAATTTCCTTCCCCACTGCCGCATCCTAGCCGAGAACCTTATTTCTCTCCGAGCTATTAGAGTGGGTACACTTACCTCCTGTCTTTCCCACCCCCAATCCGTGTCACAAAATATTGTCATCCTTAGGGCAGTAGGCCATTTTAATTCTTCATTCCCTTGCTTAATAACCTTCAGTGGCTTCTGTGTTTTTGGGATGAAGTTTGTGTTCTTTAGTCTTTCCTTTACAGTTTTCCTCAGTTTGACCCCAGACTTCTTGTCCAACCTTG